GGTAGCAGGGGTGAAGAGGCGCGGCGCACCACGAGGAGCGAAGAATCAAAGCCAGCGATAAACGCCCTCGTGCGCGATGATGGTAGAAACGACCCCGTATGCGCCATGCAATGTTTTACTCCACTGCGACCGTTCACGAACTCGNACCCCAGCAACAGCATGACAGGCAGCATATACTCATTGGCATCGACCGATGATTTTGATAGCGAGGTTAGTCAGATGTCTTTCGCATGGTAATATCTAGTATGCATGATAAAAAATTGGATAATAAAAATAAAAAGTCGGGGACAGGTAGAGAGCATCATGTACTTGCAATGTGCACAATAAACTGGGCAGTGGCCTTTGCTCCACCCCATGAGTATCACTTTATCCCGTGGCACCCCTGATGTTAGCAGTAGTTACATCAAAGGGGAAGGAATAAGCAGAGGGAAAGTAAGAAGAGGAGGAAGAAGTTAGCCTAATGTTGTTGTTGTTTTTTTTTTTTGTGGGAGAGTTGTTGGTGCCCACGTCTCTTTGTGTGTGCGTGTGTGTGTTTGCATTACATCCCCTTCTCCTTCCCTTCCCTTCCCACGCGCACGCACCATGACGGAAGGAGATAGCGAGTGAGCCATGGTGGCGGTGATGGTGAAACTGAGCCGCAAGCAAGCAAGAAATAAGGTGCACAGAATACTGTTGAAAGCGTCAAACAAGGGAGGATAAGGGGAACGGTGGTGCCACGGTGGAGGGTGGTGTCGTCTTTCCCTTGTAATTATATATTTATCTATAACTTGTTGTTGTTTTTACTTTTCTTCTCGGTTGCTTCAGCTGCTCTTACTTTCATCGTTATTGTCGTTGTTGTTGTTTTTTTTTTGTTCATTTGTTATTATTTTTATATTATTTTCTATAGTCTTGCGTGTGTTTTTTGATATATACCTCAACCACTTTCATACATATACAACATATACAACATATATATATATGTATATATATATATTATCTATGCATGAAGGTCTCACTCTCTCCCCACGTAATTTACTTTTTTTTTCTTTGTTTGTTATGATGGTTGTCCCATCTTTGTCCCAAACTCTGCTGCTGTTCATTATTTATACTTCTGTTTCATGTATGTCTTTGTTCTTTTTAATTCTGTGTGTCAAACTGCTCTCTTCACCCCCCTCGCGCGTGTTAACGCGGCCTCGTTTTGCCGCCTGATAGAAGAAGAAGGAGGAAAAAAGTAGGAAACGCTTTTACATGTCTCTGGTCATATGTGTGTGGTGAGCAAGCCCCGGTAATGGAGAGACGCGCCTATGCCTAACAAAGGCCCCTGTGCGGCAGGAGGGGAGTTGCAGGCTCACGGGTGCGGGGTGGCACGGATGCACTTGTTCCCTGGAGCACCGAGCCATCTTTAGTCATCGTCAGTTCAACGTTCCGGTCGGCTTGCATGGAGAAGTGGTGTTTTCCTGTTCCGACAGTCAGGGTGATGGATCATTTGGGCACGCAAAGACGAGCTAACCCACTGGGCGCAGAAGTGAACAGTACCGGGCCCAAAGATGCGGCAAGCACCGCAAATTATGCAGGCGTACAGTGTACTCGCATCTGTTTGTGTTTGGGCGGGTGCCAGAGTTTTTGCCAGCCAGAGTGAAGAGGGTGCAACTCCCGCGCTTGGGCCTGCAGGAACTCTCATTCCTCTGTTGGGCTTACCTGAATGTAGAGGGACTTCTGCTTTGTTTTGTTTGTTGCCACTGACTGCGTAGTTGTCAGTTGTGAAAAAAATGAAGAAAACTGGACCAACAAAAAAAAAGAAAAAACGGTTTCCGGACTGAGTCTGTGGGACACAGGACTGTTTGAGATGTCGACTGTCTGAAGCCGCAGATCGATCCGTGGCTCATCAGGGCGATGGTCACGAAACTCGTTCCTCTCAGTGAAAGGATACTCACGCAGTTGCCCCAGTGGATAGTGGAGTACACGGGCGCCTGATTGCCTCTCACATAGAGGTGACAAAGCCCGGCATCACGATAAGGTGGCTCACAGCATCACGGGGACGTCTATTAACAGGACCCCCTTTTTTGTATAGCATTCAGCTGACGCATGCATCCTTGTCTTCATTCCGTATGGGGGAAAATAATAATAAAAAGGTGTTACTGTTCCCGTGTGGGTATATGTTTTGAGGCGCCGAAGGCGTGGGTAATTTGTTTGCTACTATATGTCAGTGCCTTTGCTGCGTACGTACGTGTATACGCTTTTTTTTTGTGTATGGATATTTCATTATTTAGTTTCTTTGTATGATTATTGCGTTTTTTTTTATTCGGGGGGGGGGGTTGCTGTCTTTTTCATCGTGCTGTTTTCCTGATGCATTTCAACTGTGGATCCACTGTACTTTTTTTTTCCAGGCAAAGAAGCTAGCCACTAAAGAAAGAGTGAGAAATGGAGGATCAGACTAAGCCGGTCTCTAGGATCAAGCGACATGATCGCGGCACCGTTGAAGACAAAAGCAAACAGATGCCGCAAGAAGAAGTTAAGCAGGGAGAGATCAAGCAGGAGGAAGTCCCGCAGCAAAAGAGGCTAAAGTCGCGTCCGAAGGCGCCAATGGCAGTGGTAGCTGCGCCAGAAGCAACAATTTTGGCGCACAAGGATCCCGTCACAATGGGCCCTGTAGCACCTGCTGGCCCCGCTCCACCATCAGCGGCGGCGGTGACGGCATTGACAATGGCAGATCAGACGGCTGCATTGCATGTCGCTGGGGATGTGAAGGATATATTTGAGATTGCGTACGACAACTACACCTCAAAGGATTTGCAGGCACTGCTGAAACGCGTTACACGTCAGGAAGTGGAGAAGCGCATATTGGAAGTTGAGCAATTGCGTCAAGGGCAGAACGTTTCACAGGTGGAGCGTTTCCTGGACGTCACCTCAAAAATGGCTAGCAGCAGCGGTGGCAACAACGCTCCGGAGGAGGGCTGTGGATATAACTACAGTGTCATGTTGCGGCGTCTCTTTGTTGCGCTCAACCGCAACAAGGAAAGCAGTGCCATGTCAGAGCGTAACAAACTCCCTGAGCCAAAGCTTGAAAAGATCGGAAAGAAGAGAGTTATTATATCCAACTTTGGGCGCATCTGCCAAGCCTTTCACCGCCCCGTGCAGGATGTCAAGGACTACATTGAGAAGGAGCTTTCGGTAGCTGGTAATCTGGACATCAATGATGCTCTTATTCTCAAGTACGAGATTCAGAAATCAACGGCGTTTGACAACATCTTCTACAAATACCTTGACGAGTTTGTGAAGTGCAACTCGTGCAACAAACTCGACACGACACTCACGAAGGAGGGTCGACGCATGGAGCTTCGGTGCAATTGGTGTACTGCTACACGTACTGTGCAGGCCGTGGGCTCTGCCACGTACAGCGCCCAGGTGGGCAAACGTTCGAAGGCAAGGCTGCAGGCGATGACACTTTAAAGCGCGAGGGAGAAGGCGTTATGTGACGAGGAACGATTTTGCATGATAGTTAAGAAATATATAAAATGAAAAAGAAAAATGGGGGGTGGAGTGTGAGACGAAGAACCCACCGCCACCACTCACCGAAAACAAAAAAAACCAAAAAATAAAGGAGGTGATGGGGTGGAGAAAAAAAGAAAAATGGCTGGGAACGCACACACCTACGTACTACTGATATAATTTGATAACTTGTCATATTGTTGTGGTTCCTTCTAAAAGAAAAGACAAAACTGAACAAAATGTGCTGAGGATATGGAGAGAAGCATGAGAGTTAGAAATATGATATAACCCTCCTCCTCTAACACGGCACCCGACCCCGTGCTTTTTTCCATCCCTTATGTACCTGCTTGCTCTCATTTTGGTGTTTTCGCTCGATGTATTTTTACTCTGCTTTGCCCACCCTTTTTTTTTCTCTCTCTCTCTTTCCCCTTTGGGGCCAAGATCAAAGTGGGGGTGAGCATAGGAGCAGCACGCACACAACGGGAGGAGGAGAGGGGAAAAAACAACGAGGCGGGGGTTGTATTTTTAGTCTTGTGGCATCTGTCAATGCTGCAGCGTTCCTTTCTGCGGGGTATGTGGCTTGGCGGTACAGCGTCCATTGCGGCGCTTGGCCACGACACGCGTCCCTCTACAGGAAAATACATCAATGTTTTGCCCCCCACGGACATTGCCAAGAGCATCGCCGCTGGAGCAATGCCACCGGAGGCGAACGTGGCAGCTGTGAGGCCCGTGCCGGGCATGTACTACGGCAGGTGGAATCGGGCCTTGCGTAGCGAAGTCTACGACGAGTTACTGAAGCTTCCGTTACGATACAAACTCCATGATTTTTCCAAGATTTGTCCGCAGCCCTCATCGTCGTCGTCGCTGTCGTCGCCACAACAGCCGTATCGAAAAGTAGGAGTGATTGGCAGGGAGTCTGCTGTGGGTTACAACCCGCCGCTTGGCCCAGCAGACCCACTTGACACAATTCCCTTCTTTGTGCATCGTAACAGCAATGGCTTCTTGCCAGGGAAGGTGTATTCAATGAATGCACGAAATCTAATGCCTGCTTTTTTTTTGCGCATCCAACAGGTGGAGGGCGACGTCTTCCGATTTGAGGAAGAGCTGCTAAAGATATTTCCAACAAAAAAGATATTTGTGCGCAGTCACAGCATCTACGTCTACAACGTGGGGATGGACGGTCGGATGATCCTGCATCATTGGCTCCTCGGCCTGGGCTTTTGACGATGCTGGAATGGAAAGCGGCGTACTTGCCTAGATCTGGTCCTTTGTTTGCTTGTTGGTTGTTGTTGTTTTAGGAATTCCAATGCGCTCTGTTTTTGTTTCTGTTTTTTTACTTGCTGCTCTCCGTTTGGTGCAACAGGAAGTAACGAGCGATGAATCGCCACCCCTTCTTTATTTTATTTGAATTAGTATGTGCATGTGTGTGTGTGTGTGTGTGTGTGTGCTTTCGTTCGTTTCACTGTTTCTCGCATCTCTACTTTACTCTTTGCATAGACACATCTACAGGAGGAAGTGTTCTGTGGGCGGAAGAGCCTCTCTAGGGAAACTTTGGTGGAGAAGCTAGTTTGCTTATCTGCTTGTGGACTTGCTGCTGCCTCGGTTTTTTTTTCTGGGCTTGCGTCCATGCCGTTCGCTATGCTCGTGTTTCCTGTTGCGATACTGTTTCTGCAGGTGGCACTATTGTACCCGCTTGCATCTGATGCCGCGCAGCTTTCGGTGGCAGACGCGTCCTCCAGGAAAACCTTTCAGCATTGGCCCCGTTATATAACCGCCTGGCGCAATTCATCATGTACGACACCCAAGGAAGGGAGTTCCGGTTCACTTCTTTCAGCGTGAGTGGTATGTGGGCTTCGTGCTGATGGCTGTCGCTGTCATTGTTATCTACGTATTTCTTTACTTTGCTGTGCGTTCGCGGTTCCGTATGGATGAAGCATAAACACATGAAGGAGTATCCTTCTGAAGGAGGTAATGGCCAATTACGCAACCTCCTGCATTAACTGTGGCGAGGAGGTGGAGGGAAGCAGTCAGAACAAACCTTTTCCCCCTCACAGCCTCTGCCAAACTTCTCCCTCTCTCTATGTATAACTCGCTACACTTTCAAATAAGCATATCCTAAATTTACATCTCTTCACCTGTCAGTCTGCATAAAAAGGTGAAGACGTGTGCGTTTGATGCTTTGCTTTGCTTTGTTTTGTTTTCCCTTGTTATTGATGTGATTATTTGTATTGAATGCGCATACATTTTAGGTCTCTGTGATTGCCGTTGGTCTGAATGGAGGGGAATAGCTGTAATAAATTTCAGTGAGCCATTCGACCAGCGTGCGGTTCGGGGGTGGGTGTGAATAGTTAGGGGCGGCCGCACTGGTACCCCGGCCTCCGCACTCCCATTTTTTTCTCACTGTTTCATATGAAGTCCCTTATGCATGTATCTATGGTATGTGTGTGTGTAGTTTGTTGTTCATAGTATTTTTGGTTTTGTCTACATCTTTAATATTGGACATTTTGTTTATATATATATATATATATATATAATATATTGGTGCTACAGAAGCGGTATGACGAATTTTGAAGCCTGCAGGCATGTCAATTAATTTATGTGGTAGCGTGACAACGCTGGTGCGTCACGAAACAGAAGGAATGGCGGGGGTGAAATGTGTGGGAAAGTTTTAAATTGTAAGTTCTGATTGTGTCATACATTCACCCGGTCATCCCCATGTTGTTTTTTTTGTGTGTGTTCTTCTTTAATATATTCTTCTGAAAGTGTTTTTGCTACTCTGGCAGAACAAAGAGGAAAAGAGAGGGGATGCAGTTTGATTTATTATCTTCGCGCTTGTTGTATTTTGTTTCCTGTGTGTTTTGATTTGCATTTCTCTTTTATTTTCCCCGTATTGCTTCCCGTTATGACTGCCAACCAAAAAAAAAAAAAAAGGAAAAAAAGTTTGGGGATTAGGAGTAGACAAGAGAAAAAGTTCACAGCATGTTATCGTTTACATATGGAACATTTCTGCTAATTACAATGTGCATCTACACGATGACTGTTGTGCTTTGTCTGTGGCGTCTGTCAGCAGGACGCCGGGGGGCCAAAGACGCCGCACATGACATATGCGACAGTGACACAGACTAGATAATACATGTTTGTGAGAAGTGGAGTTTCTCGCCCCTTCTACTTATTGCCAGTTGTTGGTTGCTAGCTTTCCTGTAGACGGTGTGTAGATGTTTGCGGTACGCGTAGATGCCGGCCTTTTACCCTCCATGTTTACGGTGGTACTGAGAAGGGTGACGCGGGGGGGAGGCAAAATTTCGGAAGGAATAACTGCATACCAACACTGATTTATTTATTCATGCATGTATATGGCCTTAGGCGACAGAAGACACATGAGAGACGCTGGATGAGAAAGGGGATGGATGATGGAAAGAAATTTGAACAAAAAAAATTCTTTTATGTTTGGTTAGTTATTTACAATATTTGTTTTATTTAATTTACATATCGACACTTTTTTACAATGTTGTGTTGCGAACCATTCTGAATTTATGGGTCTCTCGTTGTGCTGCTTCACGTCATTTATAATTTTATAATTTTAGTTTGCCCTTCACTTGAGGGCTGGATGAGCTCCGCGTCACATGCCAACAAGCCGCCCTTCTGTCAATGCCAGATCTCTGCCTCTCTCTGTATCTCGTTGTACGCGCGCAATAGATGGCGGAAGACGCACACGCCGTGAGTGCAAGTGGTAGTACTTAGTGCTCGATGGATGCTTTGCAGTCGTGCCGATGAGGTCCCCATGTGATGGAGAAGCAGAAGCAGAGGCTGTGGAGGGTGGGGGCGTCTGCCGTGCGCTCAATCCCTCTCCATAATGTGTACGGTTATTGGCCAGGGGAATAGTTACCAGTGAGGATTGCTAATGGTTCGCCACGGAAGATAAGGAGGCGGCACGTGTATGGTCGCGTGTCTGTCTGTGTGCGTGCGTGCGTGCAACTCCATTGCACTACGGTATTATCTTCTTTCCTCTTTTTTCCTTGCATTTTGAAGACTGTATTAACGTGAATAATGGGCAATAAACCGGTGTTGGGAAAACCCCTGCCATGGATAGGCGCGACGCCTCTTCTACCCCTTTCTACTACTCTCTCTTGTTTGCTTTGTCTACAAGTGCTATCGTTACGTTTCTGTCTCTATGTTTTTGTATGCCGTTGATGCTCGTACGCCATCGGCTGGTGATGACGGCGAATGAATTAATATTATATATTTATTTTGCGCCGCGTTGCCTCCTGTCAACGCCTCTGATTTGGCGTCTACTGTCGCTTCTATCGCTGCATATTCCCCTTCTCTGTATTTCACTGCCTCACTTTGTTTGGCGTAGCAAAGCCGCACAAATTGCACAAAGTCCGGGATTTGGCAGGAAAAAACCCCCACAGGAAGGGGGGGGGTGGAAAAAAAAAACCGAGAAAAGAGAGGGAGTGAAAGGGTAACAAAGGAGGTAACAAAGGAAAGGGGGGGGGGGCACTCCAGTGGGAGATCTTAAGAACAAATAAAAAAGGAGTTTCCTGCACTGATCTCTTCACAAAGACATTATCTTGGTAATTCCGTTGTGGAGTGAAGTATTGCGACTGCAGCCCGACTGACTCTGTGAGTGCGTGTGGCAACTGAAGGGTTGTGAGTGAGAGTGTGTGTGTGGCAGGGGGTTTACACCTCTGCACCCGGATCAAAAGGATACGTAAGATTATTATTATTATTTAAGCAAGGCGTTGGCGTGTGTGATGGGGTCTGTTCCAAGCCGTGAGTTCCACGAAAGTCCCGAGTCTCTCTTTTTTTTCCTCAGTGGAGCTACCTTGCAGCTCGCATATATTCCGCTTACGCCGCACTTTTTTCCGTCCGCGGACTGTTTGGGATTCCGGCAGCTGTGCGATTGCCGAAGCTCGCAGTCGATGAAGTATGGTTTTGCGCTGAAAGAGGGACCATCACTTGAGCGTCACTGGCGTGGAAGCTGCAAGAGGAGGAGGATCGGTGTGTGCCACGCGCAGGACGGTGATGCCTGGGATGACATTTGCGAAGAAGAACTGGAGCCTGATCCATCTGTGCCGTGTCAACGAGACATGATGGACTTTGTGTTACCCACAGACGAAATGGCAAATACCTCCGTCTCACTTGAGAGAAAGAATGAGGAGAAAAACTTTGCCATGAAGGGAAACTTGTGCTGTGATGGCGAAAGCTACATTCCAACGGAGGAGTTGTACAGACTCATGGTGGCTCATGGGGCCGCCTCCGCCCTTACAGACACCAACGCGGAAATGCGGGAATTGTACGAACAAGAGCTTGCGTGGCGTAAGGCCAGAGCAATAATTCATAATTATCGTCAACGTCAATGCGAGGGCAAAGCGGAAAGGAGCAAAGAGGATGAAGAGGCCCGAGTTCGTCTGGCAGAGCAGGTACCACCACCGCGTCGATTTTTAAGGGCCCTTCCAACGGTTCTGGTGGCTGTCGTGGACACCGACGATGCTATGAAAAAGGTCCCACAAAAGTCTGCTATTCCATGCGACGGCATTTTACATTTAGTGGAAAGTGATGGCATGCTCTTTATTGCGTCTCGTCGAAATGACAGTTACGTTGTGCCACCAACGCCAATTCGTGTTGTGGGGTGCATCTCGTTGCTTCCTGCCATGTGCCGCGGCACACTATGGTTACGTGGGTATGAAGCGACAGCGGTGGCGGACGAAGAGGAAGATGCCTACATTGAGAGCCTTCCACTGTCACAACGTCCGCCCGTACTATGCGCCTGTCACTTTTGTGAGGCTGCCATCTCTGAAAAGGCCTTTGGTCGGGGGTTAATTGAGGGTTTGGGTTACTACGCCTTGCATTTCAGAATGGCGGGGATGGAAGATCTTGTTGCACGCCCAGTTTGGCACTTGGGGCTTGCGTCCCATGTCTCACTCCTCCACTTTATCGCCGAAATACGACAAGTGGTGTCGATGACGGCGTTTCC